TGATGGCAGCGAACGCGGAATTCTACTGATTATGATGATGGAGATTCGATGATGATGATGGTGAGAGAGATAGAAGATTTCAATTGAGATAAAGATGGAAGGAAGAGGGAGGTTCAGCAAGCGAGAAATATAGGGGAGGAGAAATATATTTACGGTTTCATCTTTTATGAAAAATGAAGGCCATAATCAATACTGTAATAATGAGGTTTATATAAATTCTTATTTAAGTGGCCATTCAAAATTAAAAGGGAGAAAACCGATTCTGGTCACAGCATATTAAGGTTCACGGGTCGGGTTTCCTTGGTTCAATACTTACGATATTTCGGGCTCGGTTCGATCAAACGATAAATTAATATAAAACCGAAACATAAATATATATATATATGTAATACACAATAATTATTAATATATAATAATTATATATAATACACAATAATTATTAATATATAATAATTATATATAATACACACAAATAACATTTATTTAATAATAATAATACGCATTTAGCACAAATAATAATAACAAAATAATAATAATAATAATAATAATAATAATAATAATAATAATAATAAATTTGGAAATTAGACAATAAATATAAATAATAATAACAATGATGCAAAATAATTAATCTCAAATAATTCATAATCAAACGGGGTATTACAATGATATTTGCAGCCTGGAGAACCTCTTTATATACTATATTTTCTGTCAAATTTACCAGATTGGCATCACCAAAAGGAGGCTTTATAAGCATCTTAACGGACGCTGCTTTTTTTGCCCGGGACAAAGCAACGTAGAGCTGGCCATGCGCAAAAACTGGTTCTCTCAAATAGATACCAACATGGTCAAGTGTCTGTCCCTGTGCTTTATTTATTGTCATTGCAAAGCAAAGTCTGAGCGGAAACTGTTTACGTATATATGGAACAGGGTATTGTTCGTCTTCAGGTGGCTCAAAGGGTATTCTGTGTATGAATACATCCTTCCCCAAGAAATCCCCAACCGCAATTTGTGCATGTATGACATTTTTGTCCATTTTCTTGCACACCAACCATGTACCATTACAGAGCCCTTCAGTAGGATCTAAATTACGAAGCAATATTACAGGCGCATTTACTTTCAGTTGAAGCCTATGCTCTGGCATACCACTCGGTGTCAGGGAAGTTATCAAGTCGCCATATTCCGCGGCATGAGCCGGATTGACACTTCATCAAAACTAAGGTATTCGACTAACTCACCAGGAAAAGTTGCTATGAGTTTGCTGTTCACCTCATCTACAAATACGTTTTTTGTCGTCAAAATTGCTCGATTCACTGTTAAATCACTGCCACCCATGTTCGTTATATCTGGATAAATTACGCCAATGAGTTCATCTAATGAGGATTCATGCAATGGATCAGCCAACGCAAGGGGTTCAGGTATCTTTATTAAATTATCGCCAAAAGTTTTTTCCTCACCATTACCGACCCTCAACAAAAAAGCCATATAAAGAGGGTCTAAGCGTGCACGCATGTTTTCCACAAGCCGAAGCTTTTCCAAAGATGGCCACAGATCAGAGCTTATAATACACGCACCAACAGTATCCTTTCTACTGCCACGTCTAACAACAGGCAACACTTGCCTAAAATCACCACCAAAAACTATAACTTTCCCACCAAAAATATCCGCACAACCACACAGATCCTGCAAAGCTTTATCAAGTGCCTCAATGGCATCTCTTTTTGCCATTGGCGCCTCGTCCCAAACTATCAGCTTGCTCTCTCTAATCAAACAACCCAAGCTGCTCTGCTTGCTTATTCTACATGTACATGAAGTGGACAAATCAATGGGTATCTTAAATCTAGAATGAGCTGTCCGGCCACCCGACAATATGGATGCAGCTATCCCAGATGTCGCCGTTGCAAGAGCTATACCACCTCTAGAACGGATGGTTGCTAATAAAGCCCTGTAAAGAAAAGATTTTCCGGTTCCACCAGGGCCGTCAATAAAAAAAGCGCCTTTTTGTTTCCTGTCAATGCGAGCCATTATTGTGTCATACGCATTTTTTTGTTCTTTGTTAAGCATGGAAACAGTATTCAGCTCTTCCTCAGACACCACAATGTTTCTCTCTGCGGCGACCTCCCTAGTGTGGCGTTCACCCAAGAATGCAGTATTTGCAGGCGCAAGGTTAAAGGCACGTAAACTTGTACCCATTGACTCTAGGAAACCGTTAATTTGATACAAGACCTGGTTCCTAACCTGTTCTGCAGACAGTTGACTATTTGCATTAAGATCTTCGGACATAGCACGCTCGAACTTCAGCCACAGTGCCTTAGGATTGGAATGGCCCGAGTACACCAACAAATTAGCAAACAAACGGCGCAACTCATAAGGCATTTGATATTCGGATGGTTCCAGCAAACACATCTCTTGGCTATTGTCATCTTCAAGTAAGCCACGCATGAGTGCTGCTTCTCTAAAACTTGCAGCCATTTTCCCATTAAAACACCTCAAATCATCAAAGGACTTAGGACAACGAACTTTAGACAACAGAATCCTCAGATAATATCTTTCTCCCTCACAAACATGTACAGAAACCAAACGGCCTATTGAGTCTTGCTGGGCTCTTTTTTTCCAACGTTTTTCCTCAGACAACCAAACAAAATATGTTGGGAATTCTAGATACGTCAAGTTTAAAGCCTGTGCATACTCGTCCACACGATTCATGTAAAAAAATTCAGTCAACATACTTTTTTTATTCTGAGGGTTATTGACAAGGACCTGTAATCTATCCTTTTTCCGAAATGAAATTCGTTGGTAATTCTCTAGGTGTATCTGTAAATGTATCACAGCCGGCTTGATTTCACCCAGTGAGAATCTAAAAATACGCCATGCAGCTTCGGGCGGAGACACCCACCGTGCGGTCCTATATTGCTCTATTTCATTAATTTCCTTAAGGGGGTTCCTAGCATCAACGTGAAACACAATCCTATCATGGCCCTTGCAAATGTATTTATATATATATTTAACTGCTTGTATTGTCGAGCACACTTCAACATTAATGTGGCAGTTAAACTTTGCCAAAAGATATGGGTTATATGGAATCACCCACCTATTGTCTAATTGATGACCCCTAACCCTCACACGAATATTATTGTCCCTTCGCCTGTACCTGGGATACGCATCACTAACGTGTGTAGTCTCGTCACAAAATTCTTTTGGGAAAAAGTTCTTACATTTTTTTTTTCTTTTTTCGTACACGGGTTTTCGGGGTTCCTCTCACCACAAGGGCCATGCAACATATGCTTCACCACAAGACCAAACAAATGGGGGTTTTTTTTGCTGTCAGAAATTTCAGCGCAAACAATCTTGTCATATTCATTAGGCGTGTACATTTTAAAATGCGGGCATAAAATGAGAAGAAAGTGCGCATGGGGCAAGCCTCTTTTTTGAAACTCAATGGTATATGTGTACGCCGCAACTTCACCAAACAAGTGCTTCTTAAAGAGATCATTCTTTAGTTCCTCTAGTTTAGCCCTGAAAACCCTGGCTATCATATCAAGCCTGTTTTGGGATTCATCAACCGCAGACAACATTGCCTTGATTTCTGGCCAATTTGGATTGCACGTCATTGTTAGAAAAATATCGGGCCTTCCAAATTTTTGAACTAATGTCATTGCGTCCAAGTATCGTCTTTTCATGTTTCTTGGTCCACCAATAAAACCATAAGGTAAGTAAATTCGCTGACCTATCTTGTCTGCATCTGTTTCACCAGCCGCGAAAGAATCTTGAACTCCCTGGAGGACCTCATTTCTCATTTCTATTTGCTGTGTCTTATAAAAATCCAATCGTTGCGTTTCTATTTTAACATACATGTCAACTATATACTGCTGAAACAACCTCCCAAAGTGCAACAAAAAAGAATCATCAGAATCACGCACCTGCAGTTTATAACAATAATAATCCCTTGCAGACACAAAGCGTTGGTCGTCGGCCTTTGTAGAGGCAGCTTAAAATGAAAAAAGATTCACAAATTAACAAATATATATGTTTAAAGTAATTTCGGCATACTTTCGACAACAGAGCACACTAACCAGTCTCTTCACGAAACAACAAGTCATCAGCATTCATTGCACCAACAGCCACAACTGAATGAACAGAGCTACATCGCTGTGTCGGCCTTGCAGGACCCCTAACACCTATTTTTTCTATTCCTTGATGCCAGCCCACTTGACCAAAAGGAAAAAGAAGGGGGTACTGCAAGGGATCATAACATTCGTAATACTACTGGATGCTATGCGAACCTCCTGCCACACTGCTAACACGAATGTCCCTATGGCTCGGCTCCTCGCTGTCCTGACCATCAACTATCAACACAGCAACCTCGTGTTCATTTGGCTGATTATATACCCTCTGGTCCAAACCAGGCACCGAACGCAGCACAATCTGACAATTATCAAAACGGTCCATATTTTTTAGGCCCCGAAAGAACTTTGCATATGGATTGTTGTCCAATACTTTCATTATCTTAATAGCCAGACTTTCAGTCAGCCTCGGGCATGCCTCAAGCCTATTAGCAATTTCATGTTCAGTATCGTGAAAGTAAAGCTGGAGATTTTGGGAGGATTCCAAATCATTAATAAAATGGTACATTTGGCCTTGGATTCGAAATGTATAGATGCCTTTGTTGCGTTTGCTAAGTTCTTTATCATATTTAACTCCCAAAGACGTAAACGCAAATTGATTGTTTATTGTTCTTATGCAATCCCTGAAAAGTCTACCCTCACATGTCTGCGAAAACAAAAGTTCTTTCAAAATTACGGGCAACGAATGAGATGCTAATCTAATCTTACCTTCACGACAGCAAAATTTTGGCGGCTCAAACTGTAATCTTGCAGCGCCACAATGAGCACAGGTGCTTCGTGCCCGCAGAGTAGCAGAAACCAAAGGCACGGTAAGAAGAATAGCACGACCATCTCTGTACCCACGCGCTACATGGAAAGAGTTTGTCCGTAAGAATAACCCACTCGTATTTAAAAATAAACAAAACTACTATACAGAGCAACTACACAGCAGGCAACCTGAGGCACGAACACGTCTCGGCCCACGTGGCCGGCTTGTAGCCAAACCTGCAAAAACCATACCAACAATTACTGGAATCAGCATAATCTACATGCACAAAAAGACAATGCAAAAGAAATATTCCAATCCAACCCCAAAAGCACCCACAGGAAACATTGACAAAACCCACATTGGCTGCCAAAGAGAGGGCACGAAAACGTGAAGTGAAACCAGAAAATCATTGATTACAGAATGACTCAAAGCATGGCCACAGAAATGCGGCATTATTCAGAGCACACCCTAAAAAAAACACATTTCTTTAACAGATAATGACAGACCTGGCGGCTGCTGGCCTTCCAGGGCAGCACCGGTAGGCACAAAGCCCGACGAAACACCACTTGGTTGGCCGTCAGACCTTAAGTTCGGTCGAGGTGTTACAGACACCCTGGAAAATGACGAAGCACGCTGAGCCAACCGCCGTTTCTTGGCCCTCCAATTATCAAGAGAAGATTGCCGTTTGTTTATGGCCAACCCAGAACCCTCAACACCTCCTGACTGGTGCACAGTTTCCATAATCCAGCTGCAAATCACACACACAAAAGGGCTTAGGTGGCCAAAATGAGACCCACCACTACCCGCGCACTCAGCCCACAAAGGTGTTAAATTCAGACCCAATACCACAAACACATAGAACGACACAATGCACTCCAAATAAAAACACTCCAAATTTGAACTACAAAAGACAATTTTTTTATAAAATAAAAAAATGAACACAACAAAGATACAGATACAGAGAACAGGGCAAGAGGAAGCCCATCCAACCACAATTTATTACCAACAAACAAAGCATATGCAAGAATAACCTAACTCAAATGCGCCCAAGTTAAACAAACAAATTTAAACAAAACCCACAAAACAATAAGGCTCTAAACAACAACAGAAGACTCCATTTGTGAATTTGAAGACAATTGAGCCCAAAAAAAAAGTCTTTACTATATTTCACCACAAACAGAGCACACCCACCGAAATACTTCAAAATTCTGCGAACAATTATGTGAAGAAAAATAGCTCACAGACTTCAAGCTATGCATTAATAATAGGATCACACTAAATTGAAGCACGCTTTAAAAAAAATAAATAAATAAAAACGCAAACATCAGCGAAAAAAAAGGCAGACAATCTTCAAGATAAAATCCCAATTCAAATTCCTCACAATGCTAAGCAATAAATTTCTAACAATGCTAAGCAATCTTCAGGATAAATTCACTTTGTTGACTGTGAAAAGAAAAGAAAAGGAAAGAAATTGATAACAAAGGGGCAAAAGTTTTACCAGATCCCGTACCCGACTTCCTGTCGAAAAAATCTTCCAAAAGCAGTAAACAAATCTAGAAAATCCAGACATGGCGAAAGATAAGGCATGGCGCTACACGGGAAAATAGTAAAAACAGCTAAAAGTGACGGCAGAGGTGCTTTGAAAGAACAAGTGGGAAAAATGGATGAAAAAACTAAAGAAAGTGTATTGACTATAGTAACCTCACTAAGCATGTCAACCTAAAACTAAAGAACAAATACATGAGGGGCATTTTGGGTATAAAAAGGACACATGTCAAGTTTTTAACCCCTACAACTTTTTCTTATATGTTAAGGGGAGATGTTTCCTTAATTCATTTAAATTTAATAGTTGCGGCCACGATACTAGTTACTAATAATTCATTTAGGGTTCGGATACGGATTTTTAGACACAATAGAAATCGTGCGCCTCTTCTTCTCAGTTCTCATCTTCTGGCCACTCCCGTCTCTCTTCTCAGTCAGTCACCAACCACCAGCCGGCAGCCACCATCGGACCATCTGCCTCTCTCTCTCTCTATGAAATCGCGTCGCCTGACTCGCCTCCGGCCTCAGTCTCCCTCTTTCTGATCGCGCCTCCCCGTCTTTGAGAATTGAGACACAACCTCTGACTTCTCGCCGCCTCCGAGCCTCTCTGC